GCTTCTTGCTTGGGGAACCAGAATGCCGCTGAGTACTATCTAGCCAGGCCCCAAGCTCCACTAGAATAGAAGCTCCTTTATTTGGAATCTTTCCCTATGTCTCTCTTCATCCGGCTGTTCACTTGTATCCTTTACGGTTTCCTTTATTAAATTGGTAAACGTGTTTTCCTCAGTTCAGTGAGCCACTCTACCAAATTAATCGAACCACCAGGGAGGTCCTGGAAAAATCCAATCTGCAGCCAGGTCAGAAGCGCAGGGAACTGCTTGGGGCTTGTGATCAGTGTCTGGAGTGGGGGGTGGAGGGCAGTTTTGTAGGACAGAGCCCTTAACCTGGGAATTTGGTGCTGACTCATAGCAGATAGTATCAGAATTGAGTTCTCCAACACCCTGCTGGTGATTGAGAATTGCCTGGTGTTAATATGTGTGGGAAGACCCCATCCCACACATTGGAATCAGTCCAGGTATCCCAGTGAAGTTATACTGTTACTGCTGTGTACAATATTGTTACTGTTATACATATATGTAGGGAAAAAAATAACACCATGGCGCTTGGGATCAGAGATGTTACAATACCGTAATACAATCTTTAGTTCTGAAACTTTGTGTCATGAAGCTGGGTGAGTTGGCCCTGTGGGCAGTAGGAGGATTCTTGAAAGTCATTCCTTTACTGGGAAGTAGCTATAACTTAACTAGAAATGGAAATGCCTTCAACTCTCTCTCTCCAAACCCTAACAAAATGTGTCCCTAATTAAATTTCACGCTAACTAGCTCCCCAAAATGCCTTTGGTCACTTGGAAAACACTCACCACAAGGAGAATTATGATCAAGAGTTGAAATGGGAAAAATAAAACAGATTTCAACTAAAATATTTTATTTTTGCACATTTTATGAAGACATATAATTATGTGACTATATTGCTAGAGTTGTGCACAGGTCCTTAAAGGGCACCTTTACAAATTAGAGGCTCTAATATTTAAGTTTTATCTTCATGGTAAACCACCTCTGGTATATCTCTACCTTAATGTTGAGTTTCCCTGGCAATATCAATGTTTCAGGCAAACATTTACATAAAAAAAAATCACTACATTTTCAAAGAGGACTAAATGGCTTATTTTTCTTAATATATAAAAAATGTCAATTGATTTTAAAAAGACCAATTAAAATAGTTGCCCAGAACTACCTGCTTCACTTAGCACATCATAAATTGTTTTGAAATTTTTTTAATGAGCTTTCCTGAGATATAATTTACACACAGTACAATTCACCAATCTTAAGTATAAAGTTCAGTGACTTTTGACAAATGTATATGATTGGTAATTACCACCACCTTCAGAATATAGAATCTTTCCATCACCCAAAAGTTCCCTCTCACCCTTTTGTGGACAATTGTCTTCCCCAATTCCTTGTTTCTGGGACCCACTGGTGTGCTTTCCATCACTGTGGTAGAGATGGGGAGACAGAAGCAGCTAGAATTACAAAAAGGTTTTGTCATGTCTAGAATTTCATGGAAATGGAATTATGTCATAAGAGTCTTTTGTATCTGGCCTCTTACACTTAGCATAATGCTTCTGAGATTCCTCTATGTTGTTGCAAGTATAAGTAGTTTATTCCTTTTTGTTGCTATGTAATATTCCGCTGAGTGGATCTATCACAATTTGTTTATCCATTTGCCAGTTGAGGAATTATTTTTTTCAGTTTTGGGCCATTATAAATAAAGCTGCTGTGACATGTGTATTTATTTTTCTTGGCTGAATGTCTAAAAAGTAATTTCTAAGTCATATATATGTTTCTTTAAAAGAATCTGCCAAACCATTTTTCTAAAATAGTTGCACCTTTGTAGTTTCCTACCAGCAGTGCGTGAGAGTTCTAGTCACTCCAGATCCTTGTCAGAACTGGGTGTAGTCAGACTTTTTAGTTTCAGCCATTCTTACAGATGTGTAGTGGTATCTCATTGTGGTTTCAAGTTGTGTTTTCCCAATGATGTGGAGCATCTTTTCATGCCTTTTTTCTTTTGCTATTTTGTGCCATTTTTGCCATATAAAAAAATCAATATTTTTGTGGCAAAATGTTTGTTCAAATATTACACATTTTAAGGTCTTTGTCTGCTAATTCTATCATTTCTGTTATTTCTTGCTGTCTTCCTATTGATTGATTTTTCCCCCTACTTATAAGTCATGATTTTTTCATGCCTCACAATTTTTGTTTGCATGTTGGACATCGTAAATTTTATCTTTTTGATTTCTGGATTTTTCTGTTTTTCTTTAAATAGTGTTGAATTGTTCCTTCCTGAACTCTGTGAGATTGTTGGGCTCTGTCTGAAGTGATTGCTGTAAACTGAAGTGATAGCTGGAAACTGCCTTGAGGCAGCAAGTTGGGGCAATTTTAGGTCTCACATCATTTATTTTCTGTTTCATAGTTATCACAGTACCCTGCTGCCTGTTATCCAAAGCTTAAAAACAGTTGCTTGATATATTTTTTTCTGGTTTTCTAGTTGTTTACAGTGGGAGGACAATTCCTGTGGCAGTTGATGCTTCATGGATGAAAGTGGAAGTCTCTTACCTATTTTCAACTTCAAAAATCTGAGGGGAGAAGTTTTGCCCATTTTATATCCAGTGATCACTCATGAACCAATCGAGGTGGTAAAGACATGTGAGAAAATGACGATTTTAAGGGACTGAAAAATCATTCCCCAATACAAAATGGAGAGGTCTTTCCAGAAGAAAGGGGGAAAGTGCAGGGTAAAAATGGAGAATAAGCATCTACTCTAACAGCAGTCCATGTGTAAAAGAATTTAAAGTGAACCAACTGATGGCTGTAATAGTTCCATTGTTTAGAAGGCTTTGTACATTCCCTGGCCTCATGTTTTCCAGGGTCAAGGACAAACTGGAGGGCACCTAGGATGGAGAAGTGTAATGTGTAACAGTTACACTGAAAGAGCTAGAATGAGGTTAGAAAAATAAAAGCAACTTTCTTCTCTCTTTATTCTTTCCCTTCCTCTGCTTGTCCAAGCTGGCTCTGTGGAACACATTTTTCCCAGCTCTTGAGTGAAATCTAGGGTTGGTCCCACTAGTTTTCTGGCTGTATTCAGGTAACAGAAAGACCCCCAAACGTTTTAACCTCATGAGTAGTCTCATTTCATTAAAATGTCCAATTCTATGTTACCATGAAATCTGTGCATTCCATTTATAGGAAATAGAGGACATTCAGGAGAGTAACAGCATGTGGAGAGTTTCTCTATTTTTCCACCAAAAAGATCTCTTTGAACCACATATTCCACCCGCAAGATTATTAATAACATTTTCTGATCTGTCCAGGGTGTGGGGGAGGGACATGAATGGAGGGAAGGGGAGTCTCAGAAAGGCCCTATTTGCTTGATGCTGTCTCTATGGGCCTCGTAGGTATTCCAAGTGTTTTCCTGTGTGGGTATTTTTTCAACCGTATTTCCCTGGATAAGGCATGATGAGGCTGGATGGAGATCAACAGAGAATAACTAGGAGGTTTTGCAGTTTTGTTACGCTCACAGTTCCCTGAACAACAAGACAGGGCCACTCAGGGTGAACACTGGGGTGGATTACAAAGCAGAGGGAGGGAGGGTAACTGTGGTTTCTCCAGAAAGAGAAGGGCCGGGAGGATAAGCAGGTTTAGGATTGGTTAATGTGAATTCAGTGGGCTCTAGGGCATAGGAGCTGTCCTTGGTTCTCCAGTACCCTGCCCTGGGTGTTCAGGGCAGATGGGTAATGGCCTGAAATGTGAGAGCCTGATAAGGGAGGTGGCTGGGGGTGTGGACTTAATCAACTGCCTGGGAAGAGGAACTGACCTGCCTCTAGCACAGCCTCAAAACTGGGTCAAGACCGCATTTAAAAAAAAAATAAAACTAAATTACAGGTATTTTGTGGGTCCTTTGAATGTTCCTTTTAGGGGATGTCTCACATGCAGTCCCCTTATTGTGGGCCAGATCTTTCTTCTTGTGTCTCTTTCAAAGGCGCACACACTGGTACATTTCCAACTTGTTTCTGTCAAGGTCTGAGGTCTCCCTGTCACTTCTAGAAAGTCATCTTGGGCAGGGTTCCTTTAAAGAAGGCTTCGCCTCCTATACCTCACATCTGACACTGAATTATACATGACATGAGCATCAGCAAAGGAGTACAGTGCTCTGAGAGCACCATGGAGAGTGGGTGAGGAAGACAGTGACAGAGCTGAGGAGCAGTGGGTAAAGGTTTACCAAGCATAAAGGAATAAAGGCCAAGACTAGGGTGAGGAGAGTGAGGCATTCGCCTGAGGGTCAAAATTTAAAGGTGTGCTAAAAAATGCACTAATCAAGATAAATAATCTTTAATGCAATACTTAAAAAATACATAATACACTTGTGTACAGAATGAACATTTTCCCTTTTACTTAAGGCTGCAAATGGCTAGGCAGGGCAGCGGTACCATGCAATAACAACTTCCAGCACCTCCTGGCCAGATCGCACCCCTAAGGCAATTCCACACAAATGGTGGAGCTGCCCCCTAGGAAAGGCCTTCCTTAGGAAATAACCTTTTATTCGAATCATGAAAAAGCAGGTGGGGAGAGGCAAGTGTTATGTCCAAAATGCCTTAAGTGAAAAGAGCGAGAGGGGTATTTGGGGAATGGTGTTGGCAATGAGTTTGTAGGCACGGACCAGATCTTATAGGGGAGTCTTTAGAATTTTAACTAGGGAAGACATACGTCCAGATTTGTTTCCTATGCAGATAATGCCTTGCAGGGGACAGCCTGGAGGAATCGGGTCTGTATTACAGCTACAGTCCCTTAAGAGGCTAGCGCAGTAGCATGAAGGATGCTTGTATCCCAAACCAGAACACGTGTAGACAGATTCCCAAGGTCCAGGTCCGGACTTCAGTTTCTCCGCCACTACACTGAAGGTGGGGCGGCGCCCGAGCCTCTGCCCTAACCATTAGGTCACCTAGGGTTCCAAGTGAGAGGCCGCCGCATCAAGGCGCGTGGAGGAACCGCCCGAATTCAGCCTCCGGCCGGGGCGACAAGCGCGGGGCGGGTCTCGCTGGCCCGACCGGCTGGGTGCCCAATCGCCGCGGACCCGCCGAGCCCCGGGGGGCTGGCGGGGGGGCTGCCGCTGCCGCCGCCGGAACGTGCCGCGGCTGCGCCGACGCACGAGCGCGGGGCAGGGCGGCGGGCGCGCTCAGTCTGGCGGCGGCGGCCACGCGCGGACGGACATTCCCCGAGCGCCGCAGCCGCCCGCAGCCCAACTGCGCCGCGCCGCCCCGCGCCGCCCGGGCCGAGCCCGCCCGCCCGCCATGGTGTCATGGATCATCTCCAGGCTGGTGGTGTAAGTGGCCTTCTTCGCGTTCCTTCTCTCCCCTCCTTCTCTGCCCCCGACCCTCGGGCTGCGCGCGCCGCTGCAGCGCCCGGCCCCGTTCGCTCGGCTATTAATACCCGGCGGCCGCTAAATTTAGCAGGTACAGTAGCTGCTGAGGACGCCTGTGAGCCGGCGGCTCAGGACGCGGCCGCTGCCCTGCGGGGCCCGGCTCGGGTGCGGGTTGGCGGGCGCGGCCGCGCGGGCTGGGGTGCACGGGGGCCCCGCTGGGGGCTGCGTCTCGCCGCGCCCCGGCGGCTTTGTTTCCCGGGGTGGTGGGATTTGCAGGGGTCCCGAATGGGCGAGCCGCGGGGACACGCGGCTGTCTCCTTTGGGAGAAACGCTGGCCGGGGTCGCCCGTCGCCGCGCTCGCCACCACGCTTTTGTCAGGTGAAAATGACAGATCCTGTACGAGCTTGGGGCGCTGCCTGGAGGGGTTGGCGCGGAGCGGGCTGAAGAGATGGAGGCGGGGCTCCTCATGGGGTTGAAAAAATACTCCTTTTTAGGTTTTTCAAATTGACAGAGGCAAAGGCAAGTGGGACGGAGGAGGAGGACATATATGGATCTTGGGGTAGACGCCTCGCGTCCCTCATGTCTTATTCCTTTCGCTGGGGGTGGGGGGGTAGTTGAGGGAGATGTAGAGGCAGGCTTGTCCAGGAATTCACGGGAAATTTCCAAGTGACAGGAGGCCACCAGGATGGTGGCAATGACACCTCCCAGGCCTTGCAGGAGAGCGCAGAGTCGTGTGGGGTGAGGCCTGTGTCAAGTCACTGGGGGTGTGCGTGGAGGGGCGTTTTTCTGTGACATGCCAGAGCTGAGTAGATATCTGAACTGCTTCCCCTGTGGACTTACTCCGCGTTTGAGATAGACATGGCTGTTCCAGGATCTCTCCTTCCCTAACCATTCTTGCCGGAGTCAGGACAGATCTGCCACCTGCTCCGGGAAGCCAGGGCTGACATTGGTCTGGGGAGTGGGGGCTGGAGATGTGCTTCTGGCTTTTTCTTTGAGAAAGTGGGGGCTTCGGGCTCCAGTTGATTGTGCACCATCACTCCTCACGTTCTGAAACATCTCCCATCTCCTACCCTTCTGTACTGATTGATCTTCAAAACAACGGTCAAGAGTAGCCTTCAGAAGTCTTTCCCAGCATTGTCTCCCAGCCACCATTCTGGGCTTCCCTCCCAAAATCCGAGTGTATGTGCCTCTCAGTCCCTAAGTCATTCCATGCAGGCTTCTCCACAGCTGTTACCAACTGCTGGGGGTTTCTGCTGTACTTCGAGGTGGCATGTTAAATATTTAGAAGATTTCTGCGGTAAGAGCTGGCATGAATAATGCAGGGAAATGTCTGGCACGCCTTGCCCCACCTCATGCTTGACCAAAGGCTGTCTTCTTTCAGAGTGCTAGCCTCTCTCTTGAGGGAATGCTGTGATCTTCTTATTTGGCTGTGCTTCGGGGAGGCCCTCAGGGTGGGGCTGGAGACTTTGATTGCCCTGGCTGGAGTGCTCACTCTCTGTGGGTACCGTTGGGTGGGGGCTGGACCACAGGGGAGTAAGGGCTTCTCGTCTGGGGTCCACACGACCATCTTTAATTTTATTAGTTCACCCCCACCCCCAACTATACAAGGCAGCGGAGGGGGCAGGAGAGAAGAGGCATGTATTTGGGAGGGGTCTCAGGGACTGGCTGTTAATTTCTAGAACAGCCACACTGCCCTGAAGTGAAGCTTCAGAGAAATTAACTGACCATGAGAACTGCTCCTCAGGTCAGCCCAGAACCCTCAGCCCCACTGGAGATTTTATGGGATTTGGGATTGTTATTCCAACTGCCAACTCCAAAAGTTCAGGGTTACCACCTACGACACCTCCCCTCCCCAGTCTGCTATCCCTATAAAAATCCAACATGGATGTGTTTGTTGTCAATTATTAAAACCACTTTAATAAACAGTACTTGTTTCACATAAATAATACCTGTTCATTATAGGAAAATAAGAAAATATAGGTAAGTAGATTGAAAACCATCCACATTATTACCACATAGAAGTAGCTAATGATCATTTTGAGAGTTATATTCTTCAAGATGTTTTTCCCTATGCATATATGTATATACATTTATATGTGGGATTCAGCCCAAATTTCCACATACTCTTAGCAAGGAGAAGGAATACTGAGTTTGGAATCAGAAAACCTTGGTTCAAATCTCAGTTCTGCCTCTTCTCAATAGATCTCAGTTTATAAGCTAGTTAGCCTCATGTTGCTGTTGGGAAGATTTCAATGACACATTATATATAAATTGCCAAGCACCATGAAAGCATCAAATCAATGATGATGCCGTCCTTCTGTCCTCCCCAGGTATCTGAGAGAGGGTGTCTGAGCTCTGGAAGGGGCTCTCAGATTTAATCTACTCCTGCGGTTTTCAAACTGGCTTCTCTGAGGGCCATCCAGCCTGAGTGGGAGGTTCTGGGTTCCCCAGCCTTGATTCAATATGAGCAACTTCCCTTTTGCTTTATATTTTGAGGCTCTAGATAAAAAATAATTTGGGAAGTATATGGGTTTTACTGCTAACAAAAATCACTGTACAGTCCTCCCCTGTCATCTGTAAAACCACAGAGAGAATGTGCCTTACCAAGGACCTGATCTAAGCTGGTGAAGAAAACAGGCTCTAGATTTTTGGTCCTGTGCCCTTTCCACTCAGTGCCATTGAGTCATCCTAAATTGATCTCTTTCAAGCTCCCAGGACCTCTGGTATGGCATCCTATGATTTGGTTCACTAGTTCCATTTCCTGTAAGTAATCTTTTCATGGTTTTGTAAGCTGCTGGGACACCAGAGAACATTGAAGGAAGACCTGTCTCTGTGTTCTGAGGATGGAAAGGGAGTATATTCATTCCGACCAGAGGCTTGCTCAAGACAAGTGGATGGCATCCAGGGACAGCCAGCTGATGCTTGTAGATGGCTGTGTCATCATTGGCTGTGAGTGTTTTTAGGGCAACAATTGTGGCTTATTCACTCTCCAACCCCTCACCACCTCCAAAGCCTCTTTTTTGAGGTACCTGGCCCTGAATGCACACAGTAAAAGTTAGTTGTGTTGAAGATTAGAGGCTCTGGGATAAGCAGGGGAGCTGGCCAGTGTTATCCCCTGGGGATGGAGTTTATTCTGCCTCAGGACAGGCTTGTGCTCACTGGGCAAAGCTCCTGGGGTGAGGGCCAATCTGAGATGCTGCTTTCTTGCAAGCTGTCTTCCTCCTAACAACCTTGGCTCAGCCTTGGAGAATTAAGGAAGAGATACTCAGTACTGCCCCAAAGTTGGCCCTGTTAGAACCTGGTTGAGATCTCGTGGAACATGGGGGCTCATTTAGGACTGCCTCCTTTAAAATACTCTGTTTTCTTCACAAACCACTGAAGACATAGGCACAAAGGAATTTCAAACTGGGAAGAGTATGTCTGTGGGCACTGCAAGGGATACACAGAGGTTGCTCTATGCCTCTTGGGAGAAGGCACTATTTTGAAGCATCTATTCCAAAGAACAGGTGTTGCCTCATTGTCTCTAGACAGGATTTTGGCTGAGGTCCAGAATGTTGGCTGAATGGATCCAGAGCTTCCTACCACCTTGGGGGTCAGTAGACCAAAACTCCAATTCATTGTGTGGGGAAAAGATAGTTCAAATTCAACACATTTTCTAAATAACTGAAAACTATGGAGAAAAACCTCTATTTTGACATTGCACATCTTTTTTAAAAAAGGGTTAGTTTTTAGAAAGCACAGTCTGATGTTTAAGACTATCTTAGTTTGATGGCTGCAGATCTGGCTAGCTCTGAGGACTGTGATTTGGAGCATGAAGTCCGTGTGTCCTGGGACAGGGTTGGACAAGTAGAGGAGACTGGAAGGAATGTGGGTTGTCCTCAAGATATTCCCCAACTGTGGTAAAACAAGGGAAAAAAAAGAAGAGGGCATAAATCCTTAAACATGGGCTTGCCTTTCTTTGGGGGCCTGCTTTTAAAACATGGAATGCAGGAAAATGACCCCATTAATAGAGGGTTCAGGTTGGTTGAGGATTTGTTTCCTGGCACTGTGTGTGGTATAGGGGAGAGACTGAGTAAGCATTTCAGTCGAATTGTGAGAGGAAAGATGTTGGGCTAGAAGTCAGCAAACTTGGTTTCTAGCCCCAGTGCTGGTCTGACCCACTGTTACAGTCCAAAGGGCAACTGTTATCCACTCTGGGACCCTGCTCCCCTTCTGTGACACAAAGGTGTTGGCCAGCATCTCACTGAAGTCCTAATGTTCCAAGAGCCAGTGCTCCTCGAGGCCTCTTCCTGCCGCTTCCTCCCCCAGCAGGCCCACATATACCATGTTTATTTATAAATAGGAGGAGTATCCTCTAGGAAGTGAAAAATATCAGCTTAGATTTTGCTGCTATTCTGTAACCCTATTCTTTCTTTGTTAATCCTGCTTGCCTGCTGGGAAGTAGCTTTTGTGAGCTTCTTTCCACTGTGTCTTATTTGAAGGTTAGTTGACAAGTGAGGGTCTCACCTGGTTATTACTGGCCCAGTCCTGTCTTTCTTCTGAAGCAGGCTCGTCATCTTCAGAGCATGTGTTCACTGGGGGAGGAGGAGGCCTGGGAAGAATGAGAGGCAGGGGCTGAGGCCCTCAGTGGCCCCCTAATGAGGCTGCCATTTTGTCTTGTGCATGTATGTTGTGTGTGTGTGTGGGGGGTCATTTCTAAAGGGGCTCAAGAGGTAGGGGGAGGGGAGACTTGGCCATGCAGTGGTAACTGCACATGGCACCTTTGGAATTTCACTGCCAAGAATTGCCACACACATGCCCGACTGGTTACCATGATTTTTGGTGTTTGTGGGGATTTTTTCAGGAACCAAGAGCTTAAGGGGGTTTGCATTTGGGCTCTAAGGATGTTTTCTACTCACTTCTGGATCTTGAGAAGTCTCTGATGGATTGGAATATGGATTTTATATATAGAATATGTATAT